ACGGTTACAATCTCATTTCGTATTTGAATTTTTCATTTTTTCTAAAAAATCCAAATCACTTGAAATTTAAAGCATTCATTCTTCTCATCAAGGTGCACCTAATAAAAATATTAAAAAAAATCAAAAAATATAAATTGACCAAAATACCCCCAAAATTTTTTGGGGGTATTTTGGTCAATTTATATTTTGTGAATTATTATTATTATTATTTGATTCTTCTAATTTTATAGAATAGACGTTCTAAATTTCAAATGATTTAGATATATAGAAAAAAAATGAAAATTCAAATACAAAATGAAGTCGTGACCATCACATCGGCCCAGATTCAATGTGAACAATTGGCTGATAATGTAGCTATCAGCATGTGGGCAGACATGATCTTTTCATCAATTTAATCGTTTACCCTTTTTAAATTATTCCAGCTTGTGATGAGTATTTTGAAGTTAAATCAAAAGATATTAGAAACCAATTGATCTCTTATATGTATTTTGATAAATTTCTTATATAGGTGCAGTTTGCATAGGGATGCATCCGTAGGTGTAGAGGTAAGGTGCACCTTCAAATTCTTAGGATTATCTCAAAGTCTATTTTTATATCTAATTATAAAATTTTAAATTTAAAAAATGGTTAAAATCAAATAGACCTATAAACACATGAAAATTTTGAAAATGGACGGTGTAGATAATATGTTGTAAAATGCCGACAATTTCTGAGACTTAAAATCTTTGTATTTTGCATAGTCATACATCTCGATGTCGAGATGATCAACCAAAGGGTTTTTCAACATTAAAACTACCTTTTCCGATGGATTTTTGAGGGGCATCGTAGTTCTATGTTACAAGGTAACATCTTTATATAAACTTTTTCCTTCTTATATATATACATGTATATCTACAAATCACTTGCATGTATTCATGATCTGGGCCATGTGTATCTTGATTGATTTCGTATTATGTGCATATGTATGTGAATAGTCCGGCACATCCACAATTCACATAGAATGAAAGGGAGGGAGATGCATGTGCAAAAATGCGTTGGTATTATGCATGTTGAACAATCAAAGTGAGGGTGGCAACAAGTCGGGCGTGGCCCGGTCAGGCCCAGCCCAGGCCCTTGTCCCAATGGCCAGCCCATCATCAGCCCTACAATAGAGAAAGACATGGACAACCTTCATGCTTTTAGGTTATAGCTATACCACATTTTCCATGTGGAAACAGCCGTACATGTACTTGTGGGTTGCTTAGTTTAATACCCCAAGATTAAGGCTCTTAGTTTTTTTCATTAAATAAATCTAAACCTTTTCTTTTTCCTAAAAGTCACAAATAGTGGCCTAACTATTGTGGTGAAAGTCAAATCTTTGTTTTTCAAAGTCGAATTATCAAATGTCTAAAAAAAACTTGCAAAGGTTTGGTGGAAGTGGAAGGATGATACACATGATAGCCGTGGTCAAAAACTAATTTACTAGGTCAAAACCTAACCGATTTTAATCACCTCCCACCACCAACCCTAATTAAAGTTTAATAATGTTTGAAACAA